CTTCCTTCCTTCCTTCCTTCCTTCCTTCCTTCCTTCCTTCCTTCCTTCCTTTCTTCCTCCCTCCCTTCCTCCCTCCCTCCCTCCCTCCATCTCTCCCTCCCTCCCTCCTTTCCTTCCTTCCTTCCCTTTCTTTTATAACTTTTTTAAAAATCTGAGAGGGGGTCTCCTTAGCTGACCTTAAACTTACAGACCTCTATCTGCCTCTGCCTCTCAAGTGCTGGGATTAAAAGTATGTGCCACCATGCCCAGTCTTGGCATTGGGAATTTAGAGAGCCTAAGACGATGAGAAGGAGTTTGAAAGATGGCCATGCTTGTGCCTTCAGCAGTCTTGACACCAGCCCTCTGCTGTATTCCCGTGAGTGTCACTCCAGTGTCCTGGCTCACTGTGGTGGCTTGAATGAAAATGGCGCCAAAGGCCCATAGGGAGTGGCACTGTTAGGATGTATAGCCTTGCTGGAGGAAGTGTGTCACTAGGGGTGGACTTTGAAGTTTCAGATGTTCAAGCCCGGCCCAGTGTCACTTCTCTCTGCCTGCTGCCTGAGGATCCAGGTGTGGGATTATCAGCTACCTCTTTAAACCATGTCTGCCTGCATTCAGCCATTCTTTCCACCATGATGACAATGGACTAAACCTCTGAACTAAACCCCAATTAAATGCTTTCCTTTGTAAGAGTTGCTACAGTCATGGTGTCTCTCCACAGCATTGAAACCTGACTAAGACACCATTGTGAGCTGCTGCAGTTAGATACCATTCTGGATGCCAAAGTGCATTCCCAGTGAAAGGCTTTGATCAGCTGGGGCTTTGAGGAACTCGCTCTTGCCTCTAAGTGTGTTTAAAAGGCACAAAGGAAAGAGCTCACGTTTTGCCTTGCAGGATTCCTTTTAGTTCCACCTTTGGATTTTAAGATATTAGAGAAATTACTTCTAATCCCAACTTCAGGAGGCTCTCGTCTCTTTCTTTTGGTCCAAGGGACTATTTAAAGGAATTATTTAAAAAATCATTCTTTTGAAAATCCACTAGTGTCAGTGGAAAGTCAGCCATTCCTGATCCTCTTCCTTCAGGTTTCCTCAGTAACCATAGTTACAGTGTTAACTACAGTTATTTAAGTCAACCATAGTTATAAACACACACATATAAATATATGAAGCTCTCTTTTTCAATTTTAAGTGTTTTGATTTTGAAAAATCGTGTGTGTGTGTGTGTGTGTGTGTGTGTGTGTGTGTGTGTTTCCATGGGAGTGCATGCCAAGATCATAGGACAACTTGTCAGTTCTTTCCTTCTACCATGTGGATTCCAGGGATCAAACTCAGGTTAAATACCTTTATCTGCTAAACCATTTTACCAGCCCTTAAATAAGTTTTTTTTTTAAACAAAATATTTAAAGGTTATTTAATTATATGTATGTGTCTCTGTATGAGTTTGTGCATGTGAATACAGGTGCCCCAGAGGTCAGAGGCCTCCGAAGCCCTGGAATTGGAGTTACAGGTGGTTGCATGCCGCCCGATGCCTCAGCCTGCTGCAAGAGCAGTATATGATCCTAACCACTGGGCCATTTCTCCAGCCCCTACACCTCATTTTAAAATGCAAAGACTTTCAAAGCAGACGCTGAGCCTGATGGCCAACTGTTGGGCAGAGTGCATGGAATCTTATGTAAGAAGTGGGAAACAGTAGGATCTGGAGAGGACAGAAACTCCACAAGGAGAGCAACAGAACCAGAAAATTTGAACACAGGGAACTTCCCAGAGACTCATACTCCAACCAAGGACTATTCATAGAGATAACCTAGAACCCCTGCACAGATGTAGCCCATGACAGTTCAGTGTCCAAGTAGGTTCCATAGTAATGGGAAGAGGGATTGCCTCTGACATAATCTGATTGGCCTGCTCTTTGATCACCTCCCCCTGAGGGGGGAGCAGCCTTACCAGGCCACAGAAGATGACAGTGTAGCCACTCCTGATGTGATCTTATAGACTAAGATCAGAAGGAAGGAGAAGAGGACCTCCCCTATCAGTGGACTTGGGGAGGGGCATTCGTGAAGAAGGGGGAGGTAGGGTGGGATTGGGAGGGGAGGAGGGAGGGGCTTATGGGGGGATACAAAGTGAATAAAGTGTAATTAATAATAAATAAAAAAATAATAATAAAAATCCAAAGCCAAGCAGGGCGGCACATCCTGTAATGGTAGCATTTGAGGGGTGAAGGCAGGAGGTTCAGAAGCTAAAGGCAATTCTTGGCTGTATACTGAGTTTAAGGCCAGCCTAGGGTACATGAGACCCTGTCCCAACCAGCTCCACAGACTTTAACACCTTCAGCCTTCATGGGCACTTGAATGTACATGTTGTGTGTGTGCACAAACAAACAAGCTAAAAACAACAACAACTAAGCCAAAGCCAAGCAAAACTGGTACGTTCCCTGTCTTTGAAAACTGATAGTCATGATTTTGTTTCAGTAACTGAAATGACACCTTGCTGCTTTTGCATCTGCCAAAAGGCTAAAGTCATGTAGGACTTCATGGTCAGGAAGGGCAGCCTCTGTCAAGTCTTGTCACCCTTGCACCCCTGCCCGAGTTTCCTCTCTGTGGGAGGAATGGACCCCTCTCCCTCCAGCATGTGGCCCAGGGCCCTTCAGAGCAGGCTCAGACCCTGGCTCTTAGGGGGATTGCTGTAGTGATGCCATGCTGGCCTTGGGCTTTCTCCTTGACCTGGTGCCTTGGAGAGAGCAGGTCACAGCTCCAGGGGCTGTGGGCCCAGAGCTGCTGCGTTTGCTTCTCCACCATCTCCACACTGTAGATGAGGCTGAGGCAGAAGCCCACTCTTTGATCACTTTGCCCGGGGTCACTCAGCTTCCAATATGATAGGAAAAGAAGACATTTCACAAAGAACCTGGGTGCAGCGAGAAAGGTTTTTTGTTTTTTTTTTGTTGTTTGTTTGTTTTAATTTTCATGGTGCATTAGTTTAGTTTCTTCTCCAATTTATAAAAATTAATTTGTTACTGAAAAATTGGGTAAAATAATAAACAACAAAATTACCCATAAACCTATCCAGAAAACCACATTATATACTGCACAGCCTTTCAGGCTTTAAGACACACACACACACACACACACACACACACACACACACACACACACACGTCCCCATTTTAAATTGGAACAGCCTATGTCTAGTTTGGTCAAATAGTCTGTGAAAAATAATTACCTAAAACCGTGAGGGTGATGCTAAAGTGGCGTGGTGCTGACTTTCCTGCTGCTGGCTAGGTGGCGTGCTGCAGAGCTTCCGTAATGCTCATTCTAGGAAATGGTGTGTGTGAGGCTCACAGTGTGGCGGCGAGGCGCCGAGTGCTGTTAGAAGTTAACCTTCTAATCACTCTCACATACCTTTGATCTCCATCTTAAAATTTTTTACAAATACTTGCACCTTGCAGAAAGGCCTAATCTTTGGTCTAGAAGTCAGGAACACGAGCAGCAAGCCCAGGAGGACTTGGGGGAGCTGTTCTGGCAGCCTAGCGAGGCTCCATCTGTGCCTGTACTGAGAGTGCTTGCCCGCAGCAAGGGGCAGAGCCATGGTGCAATTCCATGCCCTCTCTTTCCCCTGGGCCTGTGGCACAGAAGCCATGGAGTGCTAGAGTGTGAGATCCAACCACCGGCGTCCCGTCTGTATATTTGACGACAGGCTGGATGGGTGACCAGGCTTGTGGCTTCTGTGGCAGGTGTGTGACCACAGAAGGTCCATGAGGGGACTGTGGACTCCTGGCATGAGCCCTGCTTGTTGATAGCAGTCATTGCGGACTCCTTGTGGGCCCCTCCCAGGCATGACTTCAGTAGCTCAGGAAGGCATCGGGGAGAATTCGGAGTCTAAGCCACACTGGTCTTCAGTGGCACAACCGTTAGCTTCTTTGAGTCACTTTCAGTATGTTGGATGGAACCATTTCTTGGATACTTAGTATCTTCCATAAAGTACATGTCTGGCAAGCAGGGTTTTATTTCATATACACTATAAATGCCCTCAGGATATTTGCTCCACACCAGGGATGGAGATCGGAAGTCTGTGGACTCAAGAGTTTGGATTCAGGCTGTTTTGGGATCACAGTACCCCTGCTTTTCCACATTGCTAACTTTGAATTGGGAGGAGATTTATAGCTGGTTTAACAGTGCATAGACAAAGCCTTCCCTGTTTAGTTAGAGGAAGAAGCATTGCTGTTGAGTTTACTGTTCTCCCGGGCCGCAGCCACATGTAGAAGCCAGCTATCCTATGCCGTTTTCCCCATGCTCCTAATGAAAACATTTTGGCTGCTTTTGGAGCTTGTTCAGAATTTTACATAGTAAAGGAAGTGCAGATGCAGTCATTTGAAAATACCTTAGGTGCCGGACCTCCTGAGTGGGAGCCTTAAATTCGAGTCCAGTTCCGGAGGGGTGGTTGGGAAGGTGAGGCTGGGGAGTTTCTGAGTCCGCCTGGCTCTGGACTGCAGTCACTGACACAGCTGTCCCGTCTCCTCTTCCTCTCCAGGCGGAAGGTTATGTAATTGGAAGCTGCATCAAACACATCCCCATTGCAGGTAGAGATATTACGTATTTCATTCAACAGCTGCTAAGGGAGAGGGAGGTGGGAATCCCTCCTGAGCAGTCGCTGGAGACAGCAAAAGCCATTAAGGTAAAAACAGAAGGGACCCTGGCTGGTTTGGGGGTGAGAGGGAAATGGTGCTTGGATGTCCCCCTTCCATGCCATCGTCCCCCTCCTGCTCCCGTCCTGCCCCCTCCCCTCTCCCCGAGAGCGTGGATCTTGGTTGTGTCACCATCGAGTTCAGTGTGCTAGGGACCTGAGGCTCACAGTGCGCGCTTCCTCACAGAGAGCAGCTTGCTAACTGGTGTTGAGCCACCAGCCTGTAGAGCAGAGCACCATTTAATTGGGGCCTAATTAAATAAAACCTTCAATTAGCTGCACACGGCTTCCACATCTCCCTCCATGCTTCCTTTTAGAGTCAGGAGGGCAGCAGCAGCAGTCAGGAATCCAGTGGTGTCTGCCCACCTTGCACCCTGCCAATATACCTCAGAAGCCTGCCAGTCTAGGTCCCGGAGTCCTTAAACAGAACCTACCTGCATGTCTCCAGACCTCAGTCACATGCTAGAAGAGTGGCAGGAAAATCTGAGCTTAGTAACAAAGCGCCTCTCAGGTTATTATTTAGAGTGTCTACTTGACCTCACCTGCCTTTGCATTGCTGTGGGTATGGCTGTTACAGTCCTTTTTAAAGCAATTTTTTTCCTTCTCAGCTGGCAAAACCAAAACACACTTTAAAAAATTAAAATGCAAGAGACTCCTAGGAGTGAGAGGCTGGTCTTTATGTAGCGAGAGGAGAAAGGACTTTGTTTGGCTCTGGAGAAGGGTCTGAGGCGGGCTGTGACTTGTGGCCTTGAACATCTCCTTCCTCGAAAGGCTCTGGTTGTAAGCCGCAGGAGGGAGGTTAACTCCCCTGCTGTTTAGCTCTCAGCTGAGCCTCTGCTGAGGCTGGTTGAGTACAAGGAACCACGAGACAAGATTTCCAAATTTTGGCTGATAACAGTTGAAAACAATCTTTTGGGGATGGGGCAGATATAAAGCAGGCCCCTGTAAAAAGAGGGCTGCGTAGCCCATCCTCCTGTGCCTAGACTTTCCTTAGGGCTACAGCAAAAGGGAAGAGCTGGTCCCTTCCCCACTGGGGAGAGGTTTGCAAAGATGTCCTCAGACTTTCTTTGTAGGTTAAAATATTCCCAAGGTTTCCTCCTCAGCCTTTGTTTTTCTTCCTTAAGTGGCAGCCATCTGTTGGCAACCCCAGCGTTGCTGCCTGGTTCTGTTTTTATTCTATAGTCTCTGCCATCTTATATCAATTTACTTACTGATTTCAGTTGCCTAGTGTCTGACTTTCAGCTAGACTGTCTCTGACAGGGATCTAAGTTGATCAAGCCACTTAAAATACCTGACCAGCAAGGTACATTCTCAGGCACATTGTGGACCAGGGGATCCCTCTGCAAGTAGCTATCTAACAGGAGGCTAGAGAACACTCCATTATCACCCTCCCCCCCCCCACACCCATGTCAGGCTGTGGTTGGTCACTGTACTCTAGAGTTCAACAAGCTTGGTTTACTCATCCAGCCATGGGCAGTAGTGAGGCAGGCATCTCAGAGGGAGCCTGAGGGCAAGCGAAATCTAGATGGAGAGAAGGCGCTGGTGCTTTATGGGTAGATACTATTTCAGACAATATGGCAACAACATCAGGGAGAAGATGGTAGTGATGAATAGCCAAGTTGCAGAGAGGGCAGACTTACCTGGTCACATGTAGTCATGTCCAAGCTGAAAGATTGGCAGGACACGTGTCTGGACAGTCCAGCCACGCAAGAGTAACAGGGTAGGCTGAGATGAATTCAGATGTCTGTAAGGTGTGGGTTCCTGTGTGTTTGTTAGAGGGCAGAGACTCCGGCAGTCATTAATGCCTGGCCACGTCTTTTTGTGTGTGCACAGGAGAAGTACTGTTACATTTGCCCTGATATTGTCAAAGAATTTGCGAAGTATGACGTGGATCCCCGGAAGTGGATCAAACAGTACACGGGGATCAATGCGATCAACCAGAAGAGGTTCATTATAGACGTTGGTTATGAACGGTTCCTGGGACCGGAAATATTCTTTCACCCTGAGGTAAGATGTCTGGGCGAGTACCCAGTGCAGTGGCTGTGGAGCCATGCTGCCCCCTGGTGTTCACAGGAGCATTGCTCGGTAAAGGGTTCCCGGTGAGCTACAGGCTGCTTCACGGGAGGCTTCCGCTGCGCTGCACTCGTGGCTGCCTGGTTTGCCTTGCTTCGACTTCCCTGCTCTATCAGTTAAGGTTGGGTTATCCTCTTGGAGATGAGGAAGCTCTTTGAAGAGTAATAGAAGAAGATGGGTTTGAAACTGATCTCAGCCTGTGGTAATAAAACAGTCACTAATTTCAAGTTGTGTTTGCACCGGTGCCTGTGTGAAGGTGGGATTATGACAGAGTGTCCATCCAAAACCGGTGGATGGCAGCTGGGGAACTGGCTCACAGCTCTCAGCAGCTCCAGCTCCAGGGGGTTCTTCTGGTCTCTCTGGGCACTGCACTCACATGTACAAACCCACACTCAGACACACACCTACACATAACTAAAAATTAAAATGAGGTCTGACAGTGTTGTCTGAAAATAGTGTTATCTGAGACTGGGTGTTGCCTCCTTCCTCTGAGACTGTTGGACATGCGCTGGGTTTTGAAGTGTATTTCATATGTGAGGGAGTTGACCATTTCCTGCCCTAGTTCATTTAACACATGCTATTGAACCCTCAAGGTGCTTGTTCACCGGGACCGGTAGTATAGCGTGCTTTCCCCTCACAGCGTGCCTAACTTCCTTGTGGTATTACTACATAAGGATAATACTCACCGTATGCCACGGAGGGTTGTGTGTCCTTCCCTTTCTCTTGGGCATGAAGTGCTATGTTCTCCTCACCAGGGTTGTCTGTCCTTGTGACTGGTGGATGTTTTTTCTTCTCTGAACTCACGCACTTCATGTTCACATCACTCCACGCACACGTGGTCAGTCATGTGGCATTCCTTTGACATCCTTTCATTTTCACGAGATGGGTTATCAGTTCTAGTGAGTTGTATATTTGCTGGTTACCTTTAAAGAATGTTTCTGAGGAGCCTGGAGACATGACTCAGTGTTAGGAACTCGTACTGCTCACGCAGAGGACCTGAGTTCACTTCCGCACCCATGTCTGTGGCTCACAACTCTCTGCCACTCCAGCTCCTGGGGGATATGATGCCCTCTTCTGGTCTCTTCGGGCACTGCACTTTCATGCACAAACCCACACTCAGACATACACCTACACACATAATTAAAAATTAAAAACAAAGACTTAAAATGTTGTTTGAAAACAGTTTGGGTTGCTTGAGAAAAATGTGTAACTCTTATTTATTTCATATTTACGTGAAATTTAGTTTGCCAATCCAGACTTTATGGAGTCCATCTCGGATGTTGTTGATGAAGTCATACAGAACTGTCCCATAGACGTCCGTCGGCCGCTGTATAAGGTATAAGCTGCTTGGGTAAGGTGCTTTCACATCATTCCCACCTTAGAGGCCCGTAGCTGTTAGCAGTTCATGATGCGTGCCTTCATCCCGGGCCTCATTCTAGCTGTTTTGAGAGCTCTGTTTTGTTTTGCTTTTCGAGACTTGGCTGTCCTGGACTCACTTTGTAGAGTGGGCTGGCCTCGAACTCACAGAGATCTGCCTGCCTCTGCCTTCCTAAGTGCTGGGATCACAGGCGTGTGATCACGCCTAGCTGGTAACTGAGAGTTTTACTGAATAAAGAGGAGTGGAATGTTTGGGAATATGGCACAGCCAACCAAGGGATTTTTAAACCTCTCACCTTCCTCCTCCTCCTTGATTTCAGGCTGGCCTAGGCTGGGAACTTGTGAGTCTCCTGCCTCCATCTTTCTAGCACTGGAGTTTCAGGCCCCGTGTCTACATGCCTGTCCTGAACTCTTCTTCTTGTCTGGCAAGCTAGATTTGGAGTTAGACAGTCTGAGCCATACACACTGGTTGAAAGAGAAAGATTCACCTCATTCAGGTTATCTGGGAACTGCTCCTATTCTTCCATGGGTACTTGGGGTCAGTGCTGAGGTGGCATGACAGCTTCAAGTAGGACAGTCAGATCAAATATGCACGTGGAACGTTTTTTCCCCAGAGTTCTTCAATTGTCTGGAATAGTAAAAGTTGAAATGAGAGAAATCTAGTCATTATTATGTAAAAGGAAACATGGCTGACAGCCAGGTAGCTAGAGCAGACATCACCCCTTCACCTTCAGCTAACATGTGCATGCGTGCGTCAAGCCCTTGACCCTCAGCCTCGTGATCCCACAATGCGCTCTGCACATCGGGAACAGAGGAAGGTGTGTGGTCACAATGCACTAAGCGCTGCTCATTCCACTGTGGAGGCTGCACACCTCTGAAGGAATGTGATAAATGGGCCACATCCCCACGAAGAAGCCTCTGGTGGGAAGGCAGCTTCTGACATTCAGCGCATCCGGATACAGTCACAGTTCTGAGTGACATTTACTGAACAGTTAAAGCCTCTTTGGGGGCGGCTTATGCTTAACTTCCGCCTTTTCCTTTTTGTGTTCTAAAATTGTTTGGAATTTTATAGTTGATAACCTTTTATTGTTAAAACCCAATTGTGGTTCTATTTTTATTTGTTTTTATGCCCCAAGTCAACCCCCTACCCCTCAAATAAAAAGTACCAGGAAAGATAAGCTAAAGAGTCTGGAGAGTTACGTAAGGTGGTGTCGTTCTCTGTGCCACTCTGTAGTCTCACTTGCATGGCTCCGTGGTCTTGCTGGCGAAGGCAGGAACATAACGTTGCATAGCTGTGGAAGGGAATGTGGCTTTTGCTTTCATATGACTGAATGAGAACTTCCCTAATGCAGCCCACCTATCTCAATGGAATTTACAGACGGTGAGGTGGCGGGGGCCTTGGAGGTCTGTGGACACCCTTAATCCATGGTGATCCTGTGCTTTACGGAGAGAAGAAGGCAGGATGGGTTCTTGTGTTCGTTTTATTAGGGAAATTTTCCATTTCCTAACCCCATTGATTAGGGGTGTTTGAGTAAGGCAGTGCTCACTGCACGAACCTCCTCTTACTCTAGCAGTGTAGCTCTGATGCCATTGCCATTCTGGATTTACTCATTTATCAAGCAACACTGCAGAATGTGCTAACCCAGAGGTTAAGAAAGCTTTCTAAACCAGCAAGATGCGGACGTTTACGAGATTTGATGAGCTCTGCAGTACTCTAGGCCACAGTCATGCAGTTACTGTTTCAGGACTGACTGGAGCCATGGGTCACAGGAGGAACATGGCTTATGAAGAAGAGGAGAAAGCGAGTGCTGGGCTAGGAACGAGGATGTTACTGTCGTGCTCCTTTGACCGGAATCGCCTCCTCCCTCACCACTGCTGTCTGGAGAGTTCACTTTAAATTCTCATCTGCTTTTCTTTCTCTTGATTTTTCTGACAGGGTCTCATACTGTAGTTCAGGCTGACCTGGAAATCATTATGTAGCCCAGTCAGGCTTGAAATTCATGAGGATCACCCCGCCTCAGTCTCCTGAGTGCTGGGACAGGCCTGGCCACCAGAGCCAGCTTCCATCTGCCTTTTAGACATGGCTGGCTAACTGTCCTCTAGCCCCTCAGAAGCTGGACAGAGCCATCTCTGTTTACAGTTTTGCCTGTAGTTCTGGTACTCTTGTCCGAGTCACCCTAACTGTGAGTAGGTACTCCAAGGATGTCCCTACTGATACTGATGGTGGCACCTGACGCCAGGGGATACGATGAGATGCTGATGAGCTGTACACGTCTCTTGAGAGTCTCTGTGTCTCTCCTGCTCTCTGGATCCAATGTATGGTGAACTACATCCCCGGTGTTTGGCTCCTCAGAAGAGGCTGGCCTTGAACTTGTGCTTTCTGGGTATTGGGCTACAGGAACCCACCACCATACCCCAGAGCTGTTCCTACAATGGTTGCATAATAAACAGTAGAAATGGGGTCCTGGCCATCCACTGTAATTATCTTGGGTAGTGGCAGATGTGCAAGCCAGTGGTTTCCTATGGATCATGAAGGAGGTGAGACCAGAGTCCATTGTTTTAGGGCCAGGGATGGTGGAACTGCAGGGGGAACATGCTCTCAGAAGAGACAGTTTGGGGAAGGACTGGAAAAAACAGCCTAATGGTTTTATAGTTAATATTTCATTATAACAATAACTATCATTATAAAATATTATGTAAATGTTATTTTAAATAATGTCAATTATATAATATAAAAATTATAATATACAATATAACTAAATATATTTAATGTAGTTACCTTCATTTCCTTATTTATTTATTTATTTACAGGATGTTGCTATGTAGCCTAGGTTGACCCTGAACTTGCAGTCATTTGCCTCAGCCTTCTGGTTGCTGGGTTATTTGTATAGCCTTTACCAATTTTGAAAGTGTCAGTCTTCATTAGTCCTGTGCTGAGAGTAACCACATGATTATAAGTATCTAAAATTCCAGATTTAGTTTTTGTGTCTCGCTGCTTTCCAGGTCCTGTTCAGAAGCAACCCTGGACTTCCAGCTGAAGAGATGGTTCTTGAAACTACAGTATCAGTTGTAGGCCTCAATCATTTCCTAAAGAGCCGTGAGGCCCTGAGTGTTTATATGAGCTGAGTTAAACAGTTGCCTGCAGCTACTCCCGCTGGGCCTGCTGTTTCTATCCACAGCACAGACAAACTGAGCCAAGCCCTTGAGATGCCAGTCCCTGTCCAAGGCCCATCCGTGCAGCTCTGTGTTAGTGCCGCATCCGCATGCAGGGTCTACAGTGTGCCGTGTCCTTGAACTTGTATGCGTTTGGGAGAGTCAAGGTTGGGTTTTGAGCCAGTGCCCCGTATCTTTGAAAAACTTAGGCCTTTCCCGCTTTGTCGCATGGCACATCCAAGAAGAGGTGGCGCGAAGGGAACCTTGTCTGCCTCTCCCGGGGGTAACCACTCCTCCGCTGTGGGTTTGAAGAGGCTTCGGCTTGGCTGACCGTCCAGCGTGGGAATGTCACCGCTGTACCACCAGCCCCATTTGTGTACGTACGAAGGTAGTAGATACGCAGGTGGTTGTCCTCGTTAGGGTTTCTGTTGCTGTGACAAACAGCAAGACCAGAAGCACCCTGAGGAGGCAAGAGCTGATCGCCTGTGTCCCAGTCCGTCGTGAAGGGAAGCCGGGGCAGGTGCTCAGGGCAGGAACCTGCAGGCAGGAGCTCATGCAGAGCACATGGAAGATTGCCCCTTACTGGCTTGCTCCTCCTGGCTTGCACAGCCTGCTTTTTTTTATAGCACCTGAGCTGGGCTCTCCCACATCAGTCAGTCAGTCAGTCAGTCAGTCAGTCAGTCAGTCAGTCAGTCAAGGAAGTAAACCACAGGCTCGCCTACAGGCTAGTCTGGTGGGGGGATATTTTCTCAATTGAGGTTCCCTCTTCCAAAAAGACTGTAGCTTGTGTCAAGTTGAGGTAAAAACTAGTCATCATGGTAGTAGGGGGTAGGTAGGCTGGTAGGTAGGCATGGGGCTGCTAGTTGTTCCTGTAGCCTTGGGATTGGCTTAGAATTCCAGTTCCACTGAGAGTTTGCAAAGGCTGAGTACAGTGGAGTTGGTGACCCTTCTTGTCATTTATCATGGAGCTGAGCTCTCTACCCTGTACGAGAAAGGAGAGTCAAAGGAGGATGCCCTCTCTCCTGTCTCCTGAGACGTTCGTTGGTGTAGACCAGAACTGACTACACCCTCAGGATTTAGCTGTGGAGAATTTTGTCTTTCTTGCGGCCGTGGCCATTGAGGAGGATCCTCAGTGGGTTACCATGGACTTGGGGTTTCTTCAGGAAGCTGTCACTCCTTGGTTGCTGCTACAGCGTGGCCAGCCCGTGGGTCACTTTTCTCTCTCTGGCAGTGTTTGGTGGGCGCCCCACAGCCTCTCCTACCACCGCTAGGAAAGGGACTGCTTTCCAAAGCCAGGGGTGCGATGGGCAAACTGAGATTGAATATTGAGACTTACGAACGCCCACTTTATCTGTGTTAGCCCACCAGGTGCAGCTGCTAGAGGGATTGTTTTTTTTTTTTTTCCTCTATGGCAATCTGAAACCAGGAGTTGGCCAACTTTTCCTGTAAAGGGCCAGATGGTAAATCTTTTTGGCTTTGCAGAAGCCATATGGTCTTTGTCGTGTTTACTCCATTCGGCTAGTGCTGCTGTAGACAATATGGGCACCCCTAGAAGACACTAGATCCTATGCAGTGTTATTTACAGACGCAGCCAGGGAGTCTGCTACAGACAGTTGAGTAACTAGCTGCCATGTGTAGTGCTTTCTAGGTCTTTGAAAGTTGTGTGGGACTCTCTTCTGGCTGGCTGTGTGTACAGGCGTGTCCAGTCAGTTCAACTGTCAGGTCCATGTTTTGAGAGGACTTGATGGGATTCTGGTTGCTGGGCTTCTCAGGGACGCTTTAAGGTTTGCAGCTTTGGCTGGTGGT